TGGAGTGAATTTGCTGGGACATTTGGCTCTGGGAAGAATAAGAGATGTCCTAAATGTTTTCAACCTGTGAATAATCTTTCGATCTGTAAAACGATGGACTCTGAATTTTTGGAAATAACCTTTAACCCTTTACAGATCAATAAGTAGCAACAGTTGCTTCTCTAAAACAACTGATAATGTCTTTCCTGCTTGGTGTTGTACACTTGAGGTTAGATTGGAATAATGTTAGAATCTGGTAATAACCCATTATTTTCATGCCCCGATTAACCCCAGAACTGAGAGGGTGGACGTTGTTTCTGTAACAGTGTTCCTGCTAGAAAACAGTCATATTTTATTTCAGTTTCTAAAAAGAGAATAACGGTGCTTTCTTGGGGAATTGCACTCGAGCAATCGAGGGATATCATGAGACACTATTAAACTGTAATCCTTTCATGAAGATGCCGTGGGTACTGATACCACTGTGCAAGCTTGTTCTTCGATTGCATGTTGTGACAATACAACCTTTGAAATCAATCCAGTTCAAGCTGAGCACTAGTAGATACACTAGCTCAAACCGAATGAACTGTCTGTATGTGGACTCGTGTGTAATGTCAGCGTGTTTCCTTTTGTTCATTTCCAGGAATATACTCCACCAGCCATTGCAGCGGGACTCCATGGAACGTGGCAGGTGTCCTCTGCAGCAGAGTTGCTTCAAGTTCATGTAAACTTCCTGCGAGGGAAAGTGCGCCTTCTTCTTATGGACGCACAAGCCTGCCGGCAAGATGTCAGCTGATCGGCTGATTAGCCTTCTAATTCAGGCTAAAGAAACTTGTGTTTCCAAAGGCACGTGGAGGAACTTGATACCGTTGATCCACATGACGGCTGCTGGATGCAGTGTGGGAAGAGTCTCGACGTATAGGGAGCAAGCTAAAAGGAAAGCAGGTTTCCAGGAAATGCTTTGGATGGACAGGAGATGACTGCACCTTGAAATGTAGATGTGTCTCGAGAACATGTGGAAGCACGTCCTGACCAGAACGATGCCTTTGGAAAGCACTGCTCCAATAGCTGTTCTACGGGCACTCTCTTGCACTTTCTGTGTGGATGTATTTGTGCGTGAGTTGATATCGGAGGTTTTAGCGTGCGTTTTCAAGGGGTTTGACCCCCCACACTCATCTTTGTTGAGTGAAACGCCAAGAAAATATTGATTGCACCTGGAAATTGGAAGACTGTGGGGCTGGGACGAGGGAGAACGAGGGTTTTCACTCTACATGCCTTTACCATTTTTCAACTATGCCTCCTAGAAATAATATTCCTGTCTTTCAGAACTGGTCAGTGTAGTATTCTATTATTTTTAAATTGTGTAATAACTATTTATACAGATTTTCTACTTTCACGCTCTGGTCTTTTAGTTATAAATCCTCAACGGTTTAATGTTCACTTTTTGTACCACTGAACATTTGCACACTTGCAAAGATATTCTCGTGATTTGCAACGTCAAGCTGCTCTTCCTTTTTTTTTATTATTAAGTTTGTATCTAGACGTGTGTGTTACACTTACTCCAGGAACAGAGGCATAGAGTTCTATTAGTTTCACTTGTGTGAGAGCAACAAGTCAATGGTTACATGAGAACGGCGAGCCTGTTATCTGTTTCAGATTGTCTAACCCCAACACTCATCCCGTCTCCGTACAGAGAGCCAGACTGCCTGGAAAAATTCACAACCAACATCCTGTGGAGCCGTGATTGCAAATAGTTTTCCAGATCTTGACGCTAGCACTGTTTTTTCCCTTCCTCCACTGTTCGTCACCAAACAGAAAACAGACAATCTTCTCGTCCTGGGAACTTCAGGCATAGGTTTAAAATAAGAGATGCTCGACTCCGACGTTCATCAAGTGTTCGTTTCTTCGTTTTCCGTGTTTTTATATTTTGCTGCGCAAGAGCAAAATGTTTTTGAGGATGTTTGTCTTGTTTTCTTTCCTGTTTTGTTGAATTGTTTTGTTCCGTTGCTGCAAAAAAAAAAAAAAATCACTATTTAAATGCGAAAATATTGTGCTTGGATAAAGAGAGGAGAGATGGAAACAACAACGGGAAGTTTGTTCGTTTTGTCCTTTATCTCTGTCACTAAGCGCAGCGGAGTTGTAGAAACAAACATGTAGAGCAAACAGTTAATGCATGCTGCACAAGTCTTAGTTATCTGTTATTTTTCTGCCACGTTTGCAGAAATCATCGTCAAAGGAATAAATGCCGATTCTGGAAAAAACTTGTGACGTGTAAAATGTAAATAAAACAAGAATGCAATGACTTGCAAACAAACGCATATTTTATTCACAATGAAACATAGTTGTCGGTTGTTGAAACTAAGAAATTCTGCCATTTTTAGGGGAAAAAATAAGATTGGGAATTTTATGACAGTAACATCTAAAAAAAAAAAAAGAGTTGGGGACAGGAGCCATCAAAAGCTGTAAATGTAAAGAATTAAACAGCTCGAGGAGCGTTTTGCAGATATTTAGGTTGTCAACAGGTCAGGAAGAGGGCTGGGTATAAAAAAGAGCCTCGTAGACGTAAAGATGGGCAGAGGTTCAGCAGTCTGAAAAAAACTGCTCTAAAAAACAATTTGAACATTTCCGGAAAAATGTTCCTCGATGGAAAATTAAGAAGTGATCGTCCCATCATCTACAGTTCATATTCATCAAAGCATTTCAAGAATCTGGAGACATCCGAGCTCAAAAGATGAAAGTCGGTATTGCACGACCTTCGGGCCCTCAGGGGCCACTGCATTAACAAAGGGTCTGGATTTCACTAGATGGGAGGGGTGCACCGACTGCAGCTTTCTGTCCGATCACGATCTCTAAAATGCCCGACCTCCCGATTCCGTTTCATAAGCGACAGTCAGGTGTTGTAAGGTCACAACGCACCTTCAACTTTCCACTCTTGTTCAAAAACATACCCTTGATCAATATCCGAGAAACAATACAAACTTGTTTAACGGGCCGTGAGGTACTGCTCAGAAATATAAATCAAGTTCAGACAATTGTTAAAACTACAAAAAAAAATAAAATCAGTTTCTTATGCAAGTATCGACCAATCTCCCATTTCCCAAAATTAAGGGATTTATCGGCGCACCCCTACTAGATGGGCTCAGAAAGACTTCCACAGACCAGTCTGTAAGCGTAGTCCACCCACAAATGCTGCTTAAAGCTCTATCGCGCAAAGAAGTTAGATGTGAACTCTCAGAACTTGTTTAAAATGGACTGAAGCAGAAAAAAAAAACCTGTTGTCAAATTCAAATGAGTCTTTTTGGAAACTACACGTCCTCTGTACTAAAGAGACGAGGGACCGCCCCGTTGTTATCGACGCATGGTTCAAAAGCCTGCCTCTCTGATGGTATGGGGGTGCACCGGTGTCTCCGCAATGGGCAGAAATTGTTCAACTAGAACCTTCTCAGACCAGAACGGGAAGCTGCTCGCATCAGTTCCTGGACTGTCGTCACAAGACGGCAAGATGCTTAACGGAGGAAAACCGAACCCTGGCCCAACATCTTTGAGATGAGTTGCCGACGTGATTCAAAATTACCTCAATTTTCCCAAAACGATGTAATTTTTAGTTTAAACCGATACTTTTACTGCGTTCCACTGTGAATAAACGAGTTTATGAGATTTGCAAACCATTGCATTTTAGTTTTTAATTTAATTTTACACAACGACCCAACCTCTTTGGAACTGGGGGGTTGCAGATTCAAGCAACGCGTTTCCCCCTTTAAAAACAAACGCACAAACTTCAACCACATCGGTTTTGACCAAATAAACACCAACAAACCTTTAGGAATCCAAATAAACTGATTTGTTTATGTGTTGACCTGTATCTGAACCCTGCTGTCAACAGTTTAAGAAGACTCTTAGTAAATGTTGCCATTGAGGAGAAAATGTGATTACTGGAGTTAAACACTGACGTCCAGTGGACTTGAAGAGCAACAGCAGCTGCTTTAAGCAGATTCACTATTGTGAGCCTGTTTATAGTTTTCTTAATAGTTAATATCCCTGTTACGTACGTTATTTTGGCAGCCATCTTGTCCCAGTTTTTAAGCGACTTCAACAAATCACGTCGAAACGTTCAGCTTGTTCAGAAGGGTGCCATGACTTTTGGTGCAACTTTAGCTTTTTGAAATATTTAGCCTTTTCTGCCATTTTTTCCCTCACAGAAAACGAATCGAGCTCGTTTCACGTCCTTCGACTCTTTAGATGCGTTTACAACCTTTTGCGGCTCCTTTCACGTTTCGTTCTGCTTCAGCTTCTTTCTGCAAATATGAACTTTTTTTTTTTTTTTTCAGCTACTTTCAGCTGTTTTGTGCTCCTTTCAGATTCTTTCTTCTAACCAGATTTTTGTGCTTCTTCTAACTAACTTCTGCTAATTTCAGCTTGTTATGCTATTTCAGCTAAATTTAGCTTTTGCAATTAATCCCACTTTTGCACTCATTTCAACTTTTTTTCAGCCTAATTCAGCAAAAATGTGCTCTCTCCATTTACTTCTGGTAATTTCAGCTTCTTTCTGCTTTTTTTAGCTACTGTTCAGCTGTTTTTTTTTTTTTTTAATCCCATCTAATTTCCACTTTTTAGTGCACATTTCTGCATCTTTAAACCTAATTGGGCACAATTATGCTCTCTCCACTTCCTTCAGGTAATTCAAGCTTCTTTCTGCCATTTTAGCTACTTTCAGCGATTTCTTGCTAATTTCAGCCTCTTTTTTTTTTTTTTATTAATATTTTTTTTTTTTTTTTTGTGCTCTTTTCTGCTCGTTTTAAACAAATTCAGTAAATATGTTCTTTCTGCTTTCTTCGGCTAACTTGGGCTTGTTCTTCCATTTCAGCTGTTTTTCAGCAATAACCATTCACACTGCATTTTTGCAGGAAATGCAATTTATCTAGTTTTCTCCGTCTTCACGTCGTGCAAGTTAACGGGCACTGAAAGTAAACGCAAGCATCGCTGTGCACGTGGAACAAACACGTTAACAAGCAGATGCTCAAGTTTCAGCTGACGAAACACCAAAGTTGAACCAAGACAAGAACGAAAACAAGTTTCAGAACAGTTCACCGGTGAACACAAGAAAATCCAACACCTTCATTATGACGCCTCTGCATGCAGTGATCCTCGGTTCCTACGTAAAACATCACTTCTTTTGAGTCTATATTTTCACGAGAACAAATAAAAATGATAACGCGGACTTGAAATGTCTCCAGGGATTAGGTCACCTGAGGGTCGGGGTAGAAAACTTTGATATGAATGGCTGAATTGTTGCGAGTGCGCGTCATTGGCTCCCTGGCCTCGTCGGGGTCTTCAGGCTCCAAGTCGTCCACCAGCTCCACCGTGGAGGTGTTGGCCGCCAGCTGCAGCGCGCCCTGACTACTGGCCTGCAGCTGCAGGGCTATGTTAATGGCCCTGTTTATGGCGAGACCCAAGCCGTGCACGCAGATCTCCCTGTGGCCTCCCCCCTCCAGGAGCTTCTGACAGCGCGCCAGCTGCGCCCGGAAGTCAGTTTTCATGTTAACGTAGACGTCGTTCCGCCTCTTCGGAAGTTTCCGGGGGAGGCGCTTCCTCAGGGTGTACTCCACTGGGTCCATGTCTACGGCCGGGGAGCTGGACTCGGTGCGCGCCGGATTGATCTGAGGACCGGAGGACATCCCAGGGTGTCGTGGCTCGCTCATTTTTCTCTGCGTCGCTGTGGATGTGCAACAAAAGTCCTAACGAGAGAGCTGGTGGGAAAAATTAGAATAAAACTTGGATCTGTTTTTTTAATAGCACCACAATTTACTTTATCGTTTCATCTCCAACTATTGACACATCAGTGAGAGATTATTAAAATATTAACACATTTCAAGTAGGCTTTGTTCAAAATGTGAGGTTTTTATGATGCAGAGCAGCAAAACTGAACTAGGTGACTTTAACGCTTAAAGAACATTTGGTCATTTTACTTGGAAAAACTAAACCACCAGTAAAATATCACTGGTGCTGAGGCTCATTATGCGACCGAGGTTTACATTTTTAAACCCACACATGATGCTCGCATGTTTGAACCGAAATTAAGCATAAATATCTCGATCGTGGCTGATGAAATACAAACAGGCACGAGTAACCACGATATAAGCGTCATTAATAACATAAATTGTACACATTAAAAGCTGATTTACCTCCAGACAGCTGGAAAGTTGCATTAAAACGCCGCCGCCATGTCTTTTTCTGCACGAAGCCAAACAGGAAGCAGTTTTCGCTGCTCGGTGTTGCGCAGAAAAATGTACCCCTGTCGTTAAAGGAGCCCGCCTCGAGAAAGCGGTTTCCTTCATTATTACTATTAAATAAATAAATAAATAAATAAAAATCTAAGGTCTTAGATATGTCTTTTTTTAACTACGTTCACGAACCCAAGTATGCATTAAAAGAGATATTTATACATGTAGATTAATCAAGGCGTATTTTATGGCAAGCTATTGCCGTCAGGACCCCTAGAAACCTGTTTGTAGCATTTTAAAAATGACTCAAACATAGGTTTGACTTGTGTTTTTTTTATATTTTATCATTATCATTATATTTTTATTTTCTGTTTATAGGGCTCTGGTTGAGGTAAGTGAATGTTGTACCTATAATTTTTGCCTGATCAAAAATGGCGTTCAGTTTGAATTTAGGCAACCTAGTTTGCATTTTTAATTATCATAACGAAGAACCTACAATTATGTCTTTTTAGACACTAAACAGTACAAGTCAATTTGTCGCCTTTTAATTTTACATATTTATTTTTGTGAAAACAATGTCTTTAAATACACATTCTGTTGCGGCGGGACATTTTACAAATAAATAAATTTAAAAAAAAGTCGCATTTTTTTAACACAGCACCGGAAGTACTATGCTGAAGAACGTTCACGATAAAGCGGAACTTCTTTTCGAGTAAGAGCTGCAAGGGGAGTGTTATTCCTGTTGCACTTGAGGACTACCGGATAATCAGAACTGACTTTTGTGAGTAAATTTGTTTTAAAAAATAAATAAGATTAAATAAAACAACTTTGTACGGATGGATAAAAAGGTATCAGCAGCAGCGCCTGAGGAAAATATCGACTGGGGCGTCATTGGAGCAGAGAGGACTCCTCAGAAGACTGATGTCTTGTTAAAAAATGTACACTCTGGTCTTTCTGACCCACTCGCTGATCCTGTTAAATGCTCACTGATCAAAGGAGATTATCTTTACTTCCATTACGGCTGCGATGGTCTCGATGACAGAGGATGGGGATGTGGGTACCGGACGATCCAAACCATGGCCTCCTGGATTCACTACAACAGCTCCTCACTTCAGAACCATGAACTGGCGCCGAGTCTCCCAGAGATCCAAGGAGCCCTGGTTGCCATGGGAGACAAGCCCGGCTGTTTCTCAGGCTCCAGGGAGTGGATAGGAACATTTGAAGCCTCCCTGGTGCTGGACTGGTTCCACGATGTCCCCTGCAAGGTGGTGCACGTTCGAGGTGGAGGGGCAGAGCTGGAGCAGGTTGCAGTGGAGGAGCTTCATCAGCACTTTGCAAAGCACGGATCTCCTGTCATGATGGGGGGAGACAGGGACAACTCCTCTAAGGGTGTGTTAGGGGTGTGCACCGGGGACAAGGGGAGCTACTTGCTGGTTCTGGACCCTCACTGCTTTGGGAGCAAACTGGAGAAGACGGAGCTGCAGAGGAGAGGGTGGGTGGCGTGGAGGCGAGTGTCATCTCTGGATCAGTCGTCGTTTTACAATCTGTGTTTGCCTCAGACCGCTGAAAGGAGAACATAACAGAGATATCTTTGTTTTAAGTGTTACTGGGACACATTAAACCCAGTTCACACCATGTGCTGTTTTAGAATGAGTTCTGGCGCCATCTAGTGGTTGAAATGTGAAACATCTGGTGTAAAGAAAGACCACACGGATTGGAGTTATAGAAAAATGCATCAATCGATTGGTATAATAAAGAGGGTTAGTCATTATATAACTGCAGAATGCTTATTTACATTTTATTATAGGCTGATATACCCATATCTTTCTTATTGCAATATAATTTGGGGACGTATGTTTCCCACAACTTCGCATAAAATTTTGGGTTTTGAAAAACGCTTTGTTAGAATTGCAACTCGATCAAATTATCACTGTCCTTCTGCTCCTTCTGTTGAAGAATTTACAGGTTCTTACTATTTATAACGTTAACATTTTTCAAATTTGTGTTTTTAAGATGTATGTGAGTCAAGAGGATATACCGAAGCATTTCGCCCATTGCTTTAAATCAAACGTGCGGTTTCGTTCTCGCTGAAGTCGCCAGAGTCCAGCGCTTCATCTTCTGAAGTATCAGAGCAGTAGAGGTCGGTTTGGGTCCGTTACAGTGGAGCTAAAGTTTGGAACGATTTTTCACATTTGGTAACCGTCTGTAACGTTATTTAAAACTCGACTTAATTAAAGAATTGTGATCGTCGCTTTTTAATTGTTACATATTTTGTTCAAATTTCCATTCATACTTTGTAGATTCTTTTTTTTTCTTTTCTGTATGACTGTATTCCTAAATTTATGATCGTATTATTTATATGTACTGTCTTTAATCTGTATTCTAATTGTGCAAAATAAACTAGACGAAAATGACTGAAATCCTCATTTTAACGCTTTTAAATGACAAAACTTACTTTACAATAAAGAAGCTTTGACTGGAGAAAAAGTTGTATTCTGTAATTAGAATTTATATTCTAATTTATTTCACAACGGACTTTGCAGACTATTTTTTTCAACACGACGGTTCAACTTTGGATTTATTTCAAGCACCGACCGTTAACTTTTGATCAAAACTAAAAAAAAACCCTGCATTTTAAAAATTGACCTTTTTTGATTTATAAAACTAATCATAATAACAAAAAAGTTAAATCATGTCATCTGGACCTGTTTAAGCCAAGAAACGTTTCGTCCCCCATCCAGAGGACTTCGTCAGCCTGCCAACCAGACCTGTCCCATAGGCAGCCTTCACTGCTGTGTTTCAAGCCTCAATGTGCTTCAATAATAATAATAATATAAAAAAAATCATTTCAAACAGTAAAAAGAACCCATAAACAAATAAAAGCGTAAATATTTCCACCAAAATATTCTGGAAACAAAACAAAAATGTTTGAAAAGGGAGCAGGAAGAAGCAACGGCTTATCCAGTCTCGTCCCTGTTTACATACAGGTTTAGTTTATTTACTGTGTTTGTTGGCAATTTTATGTTTATTGCATCTGATTTTTATTACGTCTTTTGTTGTTATTTTGTTGTCATCGTTCACTCATCTGGTTTTTCTTTTCTTGCCGTGTGAACGCTGACTCAGCATTCGTAATATTTTCCTCTTCGTAGTTGCTTCCATACACAATTTTACAACTG